CTGATTTATAAACCTTATCTATAATTATTATAGGTATAAATATACCTACTATTGTTAACTTATACTTATAGCAATATCCACTTAGTTTATAAAGTTAGCTTATCATAAGGTAAATTTATAAATTAGATGGAAATTGGTATTAATGCTAGCAAAAAAAAGTTCTATTTTTTTAACAAACTATTATTGCATTACTTTAAAGAAATTTATGTAAACACTCACCATTTTTTTTTTAAATGAAAAGTCAACAATACTAAACGCTCACAACCATGACACACGTACCCCCCGAGCCACCATGAAAAACATAATATTGGGTACCTCCAGGGAGTGCAAAAATAGAATATGAGAGTGCAAATTTTTTTATTTGAAATTTATCAGGTATGTAGAAAATAGATGCTGAAAATTAAATGAACATATTGCAAAAATAAATCAACATGCCTTCAATATCAATACACTTCCACGACAGAAACGAAGTTTTTAATTCCAATAAAATAATTGAAAACGTTAGTAATAGCAAAAAAAAAAACAACCGTATAACAAACTTTAAACCTTCTACTTTTAAAATAAAGTCTAAGTTGATATAAGATTCTAAAAAATAAGGTAAAAAAACACATCCTTATGACACCTGCGTCAAGCACGCTATAAAAAAGTAGGTCACAGATTTTTACTTTAAAATCGGAGCTGTAAAAGCCAGATACGCACGTACCTACATTAAAATAACTCCCGAAAAAGTTGCCGAAAAATTTGCCAATATATTTATATTCTGAACTTGTCACACGAAAAAAGTCACGTGACTGAAGTGCCATACGTTTAAAAAAAAAATGTCCACAGTTTATATTCTGTTTCGATAGAATAAAAATAAAAATGTGAAGAAAAAAAAAGAAAGCAGACAAAAAAGTTAAACAAATTTAATATCAATACGCATGAATATGTTAGCGCATGATTTGCTATATAGAGAATAAATAGTCGTTCACGTATTAAATAAGCATGTTTAGTAGTAATTTTTATTATCATCATGCATACACATGATGAGCCTTAATTTATCTATTTTACCCGGGCCCCCTTTACCTCCGGGCCTCAGTGCTACAGTACCAACTGCCCCTCCCCTTGTGGGGGCCATGGTAATATATCTGATAAACACTCCTTTAATCGTATAAATTATATCAGATAGTTTAAATAACTTAGTCGGTGTCCTTGCGAATTCCAAAAATGTTATAACGCTTCATATTACCATTACAAAATATTTGATTGAAAAGGCAAATAAAAAGAAAAAAAAAACTGAAGAAAAAGCTCACTCTAACTAATAGTTAGAGTGCGCTTTAGTAAAGGTTTGCATGCATAGGTAGCATTCATGCATGCAACCCCCTCCAGCCAAAGTTACATTTTTGCTAAAATATTTTTGTTCAACAAAACAAAAGAAATAAAAAAATTAATGATTATTTAGCTACTTTTATTTGCACAATGGCTCTCATGCGGCAGGGAGCCCGTCTCTACACTGCTGGTATACCTATACTGGTATACATGTTGGCTATATTAGCCTCTAATTATAGTAGAACTACCCTTTATGGTATACGTGAAAAATAATCTCTTTCCCAATACCCCACGACAAACACTGCCCACATACATCAGAGTATTACCTGAAGTATTACCCAGAAGCGCCCCCATACAGTGCCCAAAAACATCTCAAAATTTATGTTAAATCAACATGAAATGACTGTTCTTTGAGAAAGTAAATAATATAATTTACATTTTACTTACTTACAAAGTAAAGAAAAAATTTTAAAGAAAAAATTTACTTTTATTTGTAATTGTAAATAACAATTTTTTTCAAATAACTTTTATGTAAGCTGTTTTTGCTAATTAGTTACTTTTACACGTAAAAGTAATTTGTTGTTATGATGCAGTTTTATTTTACTTTGTAAAGTAAGTGTTACGTTTTTTTAATATTATATTAGTAAGTTTACTACATAAATAACTTTTTTTACATATAAAAAATAAATTACATTTCGATGTAAGTTTTTTACATAATTATAACCAAAATTACTTTTTAACGTAAATTACTTAACACGACTTACCATTAAAAGTCAGTTTACATTTACAAGTAAAAATAAAAATTCAAATTACTTTTACTTGTAAAAATAAATTATTTTTTCAAGTAAAAGTTACTCGTTTAAAAAACTAAAATTAAGTAATTAAGTTTTACATGTTACATAATTCATGTAAAAAAAAAGAATTACTTTTAAAAGTAAATAAATCATATATTTTAATATGATTTATGTTAAGTAATTTACGCTTTAAAGTAATTCGCGTTTTTACATCAAATTAAATAAAAGTGCCATCCCTAGGCGTAAATCAAAAATGTAAAAAATATTGGCTCCTATCGTTGAATGCGTTTCGGGAAAAGCTGTTTATAAAGACACCGAAGTTGTTTCAAACAAACCTGCAAAAACACTTATTTGTTCAGATTGCTATGTTTAAGTGTCACAAGGAATTCCACATCCCTGTACGAAGTTAGAAAGACAAAAGAACTTGATTTTATTATTAGAAAGTAATAAAATTTCAAATAAATTGAGAAAGTGTGATGAATATGCGTTCAAAGATTTCTAAGATTCAAGTGTACACAAAACTATTATACTGGCTATTTTCATTGAACAAAAAATATTCTGCTGATAATTTTTATGACCCCCTCTCCTAACTTTCAAAAAGTTGCAGTTTATACAACCAAGAAATATCTGATTGTGCAAAATTAAAAAATGTACACAAATGTTGATCAACCCCCTTTATTAATAGGGGATAGAAAATAAAAAAATAATAAAGCTTGTAAATATTCCCAACTTGAAGCTGTTTTTTCAGTAGTCAAGTCTTGAAGGTCCCTCTGTCAAATACATTAAGCTACTTCGAGATTCTGAAAAAAATAGTTCATGACTGTTTTGAAAATCATAAAGCTCGAGCAATGTCACAGATATAGAGCATTTCTTTATTAGCTATAGAAATCTCGGGGCTACAATTTTTTTGAAGGTACACATAGTTGAGCAATATATTATCATGTTCATCGACATGAAAGGTGGTGTCTTTTGTATGATAAATAAATTTTAAGTTTAATTATAATGGTATAAATTTATTATAATAATAGAAATTAAATACATATTATTACAATACCACAACAGTTTAAAATAAAACTTGCATAAACTAAATAAATTATTCATTAAATAGACTTGAATATATTGT